AGAGGCCAGAATTGATCTACCGGCGATCTCAAAACAAAACGTGGTTATGAATTTACTTAGTATAAATCTTGCAACTTTCTTTTCTTTTTCCCTTTTTAAATGAGGTAACATTATTTATTTGCGGACTCTTTCCAAACATTTACCGACGCTGGTGCCTTTGCCGTCACGAAACAGCAAACCTCTTTCGACTAAAAAATATGCTGTTTGTTGTTATTGAAGTCCCTAAATTAAGTTAAAAAAGACTAGCAAAGGAGAAACTTACAATAAACATGATTAAATCGCCTTAAGCTATTTATTAACTATTCCCAAAAACAGTCCTTCCTCGAAATCTCACCAAAATTTAATGACTGTAGTTTTCTTTTTACATTACTGAAGATGATTGAGATTAATGAGAACTGCGGACCTACCCCTCCCTTAACCAAACAATAACCCTAACTTGTTATCAGTTGACTGTTGTTGTGTTAGGGGAGGGGTAAGAGCGTATTTTCTCAGATAATATCATTGACCCAATAAATGTTTCACATGGAGAATGAGCAAAAATGGTTTCGCAAAATTTCTCCTCTTAAGTCAGCAGTAACATTTGTTAGCTCTCACCTCTGAATTATTGTACTTTTTCCAGTTGCCTCCACCATGGACTTTGTACATGACCTGATATTTCTTAACATATTTGGTATCGCTTTTGTGTTTCACCAGCTCAATTTTTCCAACACTTTGTTGCGTCATCAAGTCAATTTGTAGATACTGCCCACCTGAGTTGGCGTTGGCACACCATGGGTTAGGGCTCGAAGGACGAGCCCGAAATGGGGCATAAGTAAGGTTTTCATAAGTGTTGTTCGCGGTAAATGTAGAACTGGAGAGCTTCTTAGCGTTAACTAAGGTTAAAAATGTTCAATCAATATTAATAAAAAAGTAAAGTAAAATAGAGCGAGAGAAAGACACACACACACACACGCACACACACACACACACACACACGCACACACACACACGCACACACACACACACACACACACACACACACACACACACACACAGAGGAATTGATTGTATAGAGATTTCGACTCAATCATTTCAAAGTAATGCACCAAAGAACACGCTATACTCAACCTTGAACCCCTAGTTTAGATTATTAGATAAATTCTCTGTGTCAGTAACAAATTAGATGTATGGCACTCTGGATATTATGCATACAGATGTCAAGGTGTTAAAGGGTCACGCTCAACCAGTGTGCTTTACGCGCAGTTGTTATTGTTATTGTCCAGTAACTGGACACTTTTTCCCGCAAACTCACTAAACGGCAAAGGATACCACAACGGCATTAACATTTGCCACTATTCTCATTGTAAAAATAGAACATAGGCATTCTACGCATGCAAGAGTTATTGTTTTGGATGAGTGGTTTGAAATAGGACGCTAAGTAAATGATGTTTGCATTTTTGTAAAAGAAAAAGAGCACTTACTTTAAAAAGATGCCAATGAAAATATCGTTTGATGGAGAGCAAAAAAACCTTTCAATTTATCTGAAATAAACTCAGGCACACGTATTTTATGATAGTGCCACTGATAAGCAAAAATGAACTTTATGGGTGCACCACTCCTTGCGTTTGTCCTTCACAACCGTTCTTTGATCTCGTCACGTAACGCGCTCTCTCCTCGAAACGCCCTTTTATCTCCAGTAGCCTCTTACCGGTCTCGCTCTCCAAACAAGTGAAAATATATTTAACAAAGAGAAAACTATCATGTTTCAAAGGCTTTCGTACAGCCTTCTTAATTAGTTGTTACTTATCTGGACTTTACCTTGTGAGTGGGTAATGCAAAATGCAACATCATCAAGTTATATCTACTTTCTGTGTCGACTGCCATGCTGATGTCCGTTTGTTTGCTTTTAGAAGTTCTTCATGAATTACATCTTGTGTCTAAACGATATTTTCCTGGAACAAATACCTGTCAACTTGTCACTATTGATGAAAATTTCCCAGATATATCTGTTATTTACCAGCCGGGAGGTCCGTATTTGGAAAAATTGTGCCCAAGGTCTTGGATACCGCCCAGATAGGTAACAGCCGCCGCGGTATAATAGTAACGCTCGTCCCAAAGCACCAATTATGAGGGCCTGCACGCGGACTAATGTAGTCTCATTCGCATCCGTTGTTTGGTCTCGTCACGCCACGGGGACGTGGGAGAGAGCGCGTTGCGTGACGAGACCAAACAACGGCTGCAAGGGAGTATCCCATACATTTAAAATCGTTTAGAAAGCCATTAAATATGGCGGCTTTTCATTCCTGCAGGCGAACGCGGAATGAAACGAGAAAAATACGCATTGTTGCAGATAGACGATAGACACTTAATAAACTAGATGAAACTACAAAAAGCCGGTTCTCGATCTAAATTGCAAAGATTTAGTGGAATAAAATACATACGCGGCAAGCGTTCCTTTTATGTAAGACAGAAAATGTTAAGAATGTTCCCCACCGCGCAATGCATGCTGTTCAAGTGTGGCCCTTTAAAGGTAGAAGAAGATGTTTGCGTTGCCGGCATCAGCCCTTTGACAGAGTGAATCGATCGAAAAAGAAAGAAAGAAATTATATTTGTTAAATTATACCGTTTCATCGCGAAAAAGTGTTTATTTGGGACTGTTTCCAAGTGGGTGGAATGAAACACAACTTACTATTGTAGAAAAACACCTCTATGTCATCTGGGATAAACTTGTAGCTTCCTGCTAAAAACCGTCTAGCACTGATTGTACCGGCTTGATATGAGACACTGGGAAGCTCGTACGCATGCCCAAGATCACTGAAAGATACCGCTGACTGGTCTGCATTGTTACCAATGAAAACGTCGTTCTCTCCAAATACTGGTCCTGCCTGTGGATCTTGTAGCAGAGCTTTGTCAAACTTATCAGGTTTAATATCAAGTTTAACAGGTTGTAAGCCAGCAGGATTGACAAGACTGAACAAAAAGGCACGTCCACTCCAAAGGTATTGCGAGTTTCCTCCTGTCCCTTTGCAAAAGAATCAATAGAGATGAAACAAAGAGATTAACTTCCTTGCACAGGACAATGATCTCTTTACCTTTATATCTACCTCAGATCAATCCCGTTCTTGAAAGCCTCAAGAGGATCTAGAGGCTGTTCTGTGTTACGTACGAATTTTGCTTATGCGCATGACTTCCCTTACGACTCGCTTTTGCTCTCCACCAAAACATACCGGAAACACGCGTGTTACAGGTAGAAACTTCCACTAGATAGAAGCCATGAGTTGAAAATAACTTAGGATGGATTAACATTGGATTTGTACCATTGTGGAGCGGTCTGGCCCAAGATCGTCGCAGGTGAATTGCAATTTAAGGCAATTACAGAAAGAAGCGCCCGACTTTTACCTTGGAGGTACGGGATGGAATCCTATCGAAACCTGGATTTTTCTCAGGCATTTTTTCTGCAATTGCGTAACTGCATCTCATCTACGAGGATCATTCTTCTCTTGAATTCACTAACACAAAATGTGATTTATTTTATCAAAGTTGTAAACTATTGTCGAGAACTCAGCAGCCTTCTTTTTTCCAGTCTTCTTACACGGTCGACGTTTTACTCACCACCCCATCTCTGGTCTGCAAAACCACCGAAAACGTACTTTCCAACTTTAACTAAAGTCACTGTCACTGCATGATTCGGACAATTTTCGTGAAACGTCTGTGCGCCAAAACCGTCATGGATAGCTCTATAGCAAGGCTCCCAGCGGGCAGTTTGAGTCATCGGAAGTCCAACCCACATCCTCAAAACATCGTAATATTCGTTCCTCAGCCCCAGAATGTAGGAAACGAAGAGTGCTAATGATAAAAAAAAGAAATGAGGAAAGAAAGTTTCATCACGGTGGATCCCGAAACAATCTCTCTCAAAAACCGTTTCGAGCGTTAGCCCTTCGCTCCGACGAAGGGCTAACGCTCGAAACGTCAGCTTCTGTAATCATTACGGTGGCCAATTTACCATTCCAACTTTGTTGATATATCCAAATTATTTCGTTACTCCCACCGACGCAGCCCCAAACAGTTTCTTTCGAAACTATCAGCCTTTATTCTCTCAAAAACCGTTTACCGAAATGGGGAAATAGGTTACAGAAAATAGGTTACAGAAAATGAGTAAGTCACAGGACATTCGCTAAACAGCTCTAAGTTGCCCGATGCGTGCGTGTGTATGGCACATTTGAGAAAATACAACGAAACCACACCGAGCCCAAAAAGTCTATGATAGCTACAGACTTTATGATATTCGAAGTAAATATGTTTTGAGCTTGACTCATATTTATTTTAGCAAGAGATTTATGTCAAAATGAGTTACGAGAGGGCCAAAAACATATTTATGCCCAATAACTTAAATTGCATTGGTATCATTGTTATTCTGAGGGGCATTGAGAAAATAAAAGCTGAAAAATGACAGCAAAACAGTTTGAACAATCAAGTGAGGGTCTACAAACAGATTTCAAGCTTTGTTCGTTTTTATGCTTTGATGCAAATTAACGCTGCAAGAAAACGGAGCGAACTTTGCAACGGATTTTAATTCGTTGCTTTTATCATACGATTGTTTGATTCTCACTTTTCATTGGTTTACTTCAGCGGGCTAAAATACATTTTAAACTACAGCTCAGCCCGTCAAATTCTCCATTTTAGTCCGAAAAATGAGCCTGGATGCCCAAAAAAGTGATTATAATAAAATAATATTTTAAGTTGAGAAAAATTAAGGCTTGTTTATCGACGAGACAGAAATGAAACCAAGTCATTATGTGGTAAATTACTACAAAGAAAATCATACTGACTGATTGCAAAAATATTTTTGAAGAAACCTACTGTTTTAAAAGTCACCCGGCCGTAAAAAAGGCTTTTGCAAAGTAATAAAGACAGTTGCTAAGTTTTTTTTATAACGTTGCTTCAAAGGATGTCTGACGCACAGCTCAACATATAGTTCTTTAATAAACATTTTACTAATAAAACAAATTCGAAAATCTACTAAACGCACACAAAACACCTTCTGCTTATTAAGCCTTTGCTCTTACCGTTGTAATTCATCCAAAAACTGACAGAAAGACCATTGGAACAATTGTTAAGGTAACCCAAACACTCTCCTGGATAAGAAGCCAGGTAGACCCCCACATTTCCTGTTCGAGTGAGGACACCGAGGTATGTGTGCCTATAATTATCAGCTACATTGATGATCGAAGTCTTAGATGTGATCTGATCCTCAAGTCTTTTGGCGTTGTTAACACTCGCGAGTGGCCAGTCATAATTAGCTAAATTTCAAGGGAAAATATATTAGATGACTCGATATTGTTATGTGAAACTACATGTTTTGAAATTAATCTGCCAAGTGTATCGTGGCCCACAAGGGTCAATGCTGCATATGAAATAGTTGCTACAAAGATAGTTACTGCAGATCAAGAGGTTACAAAGTTTATATTCTCTTGTGCTGATTAACATTAGAACTCCCTAACTAACCAGTAAGTAATTTCTTATCTTCCCATTATCTACTTTCATGATTTATTTCTCTACGATTATATAACATATGACCTCATTGCTTACTCCATTTCCCACCTCTCTCCCCATTTCCCACCCTGTCTGCTTTCATTTCTGCTTTGCTCCTCCCTTCCAGCTTCTTGCTGCGTTTCAGGCAATCTATCTATAACTTCCTAATCGACTCGCAGACCTTCTGCTCGTTTGACTCTCTGAATCTTTACAAAGACACCACATGCAAAGAACAGAAGTAGAAGGTGCACCCGTCCTATTCCCTATAAACTAACAGTGAATACCTTTAGGAAGACACCTGACAAATGGAGTCCTTGTAACATTACCACGAAAGGCTATGTTTATCTCTGGCCATTGAACAAGATTTCCCAATCTTACGTTGCAATCTAGATATAGCTCCAACGCCTCTGCTTCTGTAAACATACGTTCCCACATGTTGAAATGCATGATATCGGCTCTCATAGCTCTGCCTTCCAGTATGGAACCATAACTATTTTGCGATTGTCCAAGGATGAGATGACCGCCAGAGAATGTTGACGAAATTTGAAACGTTTGCCCGTTATATTCAACTTTGTCATCGACATGCAGACGGAACTGGCCTGTTGTAACCTCCCACACGAATACCACGAGATGCCACTTAGAATCAACAAACGCGTGACTAGTAGTAAATTCCCTATAAACAAGAAATAAAAATCCATTGAATTTACTTCTCTATATTTAAAGTAAGTAATATAGCTGTAGTACAGTAATAAAACCAGTTAAAAAAAATCTTCCTCCCGTTAGAAAACTTGACAAAACTGTCTTAGAGAAATAGGTATTTTTTAAACTCTGAGAGGTGTAGTCTTCCTTGCTGGTATCGAAAGAGATACACGTACTTTGAGGTAATTGACCGATTGTTTCGCTAATAACCAATCAAATTTATCCTTATTTCCTTACCGTTCGTCGCCTTCCGTAATGACTTTACACTGTCGATCCTCCTGGTATAGGAATGCCACTTTTCTATCTTCTTGAGAATGTGCTATTGAAAACACTGCTGACCAATTTTGAGTTGGCGGTCCTCTGATCCACCATGAGACAGTCAATTCTTTAAATTCCAACACGATCGAAACTGATGAAAAATCTTGAGGGTAAGAACCAGGGAAACTAAGATAATAGTCCACGGGTCGCTCTGAGTAGGGAAAACATTTCAAACTTTATCAAAAACATACTTTCGTGTCGCTGTGTTGGGAATAAAAGCAAGCAATGCCATTGCGGCGACAACATGCCTAAAATAAAATGAAAATAGTGGAAAGACTTTCATCGTGAGCAACAAATGATTACTGCGCTGCACCAGCGAATCACGTGAACTCTATTATCCACACCGCAGTTTAGAGTCAGGCCATCAATTGAGGCTCGCGATATTCCAACTGTTATACAGTTAGTTGTTTTAGTTGTTGCAATGTCGCGGTGTTTGATTGATTGTTCTTATTTCTGAAGTTAAGATATACAGAAAGAACAATTTATTCTATCATCAAGCGATTTCACTCTTTCCAGTATCGCAACCAAAGCTCTATCGCGCTAACGAACAACCTTTTGTGAACAACCTAACCCCCCTTCATAAAATCAACTGACTATGTACGTACGTAGGAAATTAAATCATGCCGTCTTAAAATCAGGAATATAACAAAGGATTATAAAAAGACAAAACTATTTTTTTTGTGTTTGGGAAACCAGCAATGCCTTATATTCGAATTAAAATACAATTTGAGCGATACAAATTGTGCAGGCCATACAAATGACTGGCTAAATTGTGCAGGCCATACAAATGACCGGCAGCAGCCAGCCCCCAAACCTGTGCACAAACTCTCGGGAACACCTTAAGAAAAGATACAACCAAAAGCAAAAAAAAACAACAACAACAAAAAAAATGGCTTGAAAATATTTGAGTACCTTAGAAACCAATGCTTGACCATTTTCGAAAGCGAGAGGTCTTTGATTTAAGCCCTCGCGTGGAAACAGATATTTTTTTTGGACACGCTCTTGATCGAACAAAAAAAATTGTTATCTCTATATAAGAAACGCTTCCAATATAACGAACACTAAAACAAGCTTTTCATACATGACCATATTGTTTGGCAAACAGGCCATTTTCCAGGTATAGAAAGCCTCTGCTTTAAAGCGAGGGTTAGCAGAAGGCTTTACAAACGAAGATATTTTTTTCCATACATAATACATAACTTATTTTCACAAGAAAGTTCACAAGCTCGGTAGCTCAGTTAGTAGAGTATCTGCCCGTAAAATTGGAAGGTTCAGTATCTGAGTCTTTAAGGGGCAAATTTCTAAGCTCGTGACAATTTCGCAAAGTTTTCCTTCGAATTTATATGTTAACTGTACTTAGACTTACCTCTATTTGCACGTGTTTTCATTGCTGCTTGTTTCAGCTGTTCCGATTTCCACTTTTCCCATAGTATACCCCAATTTCTTTCGGTAGGATTGTACGGGCCATTAAGAAATGCAAATAAGCAATCGTCAAACCACCATCCCCCTTGCCAAAGCACGGCACAGTTTTCTGTATCTTTTCTGTCATTATCACTATCGGAGGTGGTGAACATTTTGTTGCTGTGTCTCGGACCAAGTGAGTCTGTTCCTCCAGTTGTACCAAAATATCCATCCACGAAAAGTCTGTATTTGTCACTCTCGGAATCAACGGTGAATGTTTCGTAGCTCGCATGTGCTTTCTCTCCAGAAAAGGCTTCTACTTCCACAAGGAGCTGATGATTCATGGAGCTTGTGAGACGGTGCAGCTTTTCGTTTCCAAGCCAGAATTCAGTGAAAAAATTTCCAAAGCCCTCCCTATATTCAACCCAATTTCTTTCAAAGTCAACAGTTCCATTGAATCGCTTTTGAAAAACAATCCATCCACCACCGTTTGTTTCTTGGTCGCAAAGTACTTGGAAAGCACCTTTGCCGTCAGGGTCAATGTCATAAACCCCGGTTGAGTTGAAGCCTCGGTGTAATAAGTCGAGACAATCTGTCCCTGACAAAGAAATTGAAAGAAAATTGTTACCCAAAAGGTCATTGGCTAAATAACCCTAATATAGAATCTGCGAAGAATGCGTTTGTCGTGAGCTCTGCATAGAGTAAATCATGGAATTTAGTCCCGGCTCACCAAACGGAGGTGCAAAGTTGTCTTTATGATAATGAGATAATGATAACAATTACAGTCTTTATACAGAACGTGGGCTCACCTACAGGTAGTTTTCAGGCGAGTGCTGTTTTTCATTCATTCTTCCGATTCAAGGTATTTGGAATATTTTTCTTTTAGTTGATGATAAAAAGCTGTAAACTCAGAGCAAGGATAACAACTAACAGCGAAGTCAAACTATAACCAAACTTGGTGTCACACCAGGTCTGGGAATTGAAACCGCAGCTCTGTGATCGTAGGCATGTGCTTTCCCTGCTGGACCACCCTTATTACTCTTGCCCCTTCCCCACTCCCCCTAGTAGCTCACAACTCTCCCCTCATCCCCGGAAATCATTTCATGTTTAAAAATGCAGCCATTATTTTAGTCGAGATTCAGATATAAAAAAATTCTGCGACTCTGAGATGTCGTTCATCTTTACAGTCTAGGAGATCTGTATTGCTTTCCAAGGTTGTGGAGCACATAAAATTTTGATTAATACGAGAGGTCTCCACTAACTAAAACAGCATGAATCCAAAAAATGTAAAGGAAATAAACAAAATAGCTGACTTACCTACATTAACTTCATTCAGTGCTTCCACAAATTTGAATGGAATGGAAAAATAAATAAATACCTATACAACAGATTGGGGATAATAAGTCTCCATTCAGCAAAATTGAAAGACACAAATTAATCACAAAAAAACAGAAGTTGGAAGATCTCTCCTTAGTCTAAAACAATGATCTTTAAGCGTCATTCCTTCGTGTCATCATGACAACAACTCAGCGGTCGATTATGCTGTTGTTAAAATAATGTTGTTAGATCTAAAAGTTCCTTAAAGTTATCGAGACTGAAGAACTTCAACGGAATCGTCATGGCGACACCTATAATGCCTGCAGCAAAACCCTTCCATAGCTTGTTCGATCTGACTGAAAAACAGGCGATGCTAATTTCGTCATCTTTATTCCCTCTATCGGCGTCTAATTACATTAAACATTCCATATGTTTTTCCTTTTAAAACATTTCTATTTTTGTCAAAGCAGCAAATATAAGGTGAAGCAACGTTTTTCTCGCAGATTGTAAACGCCAGCCTATATGAATGCAGTTTGGAAGGATTATTAAGACGCCCAAAAAATGAAATCTGATAATTTAGTTCTGTATGGTTGGCGAGTTCGCATTATAAATGAATACTTCTCTCTTGTTAATTAGTAAAATGCCAGGTTATAAATTCTCAGAATTTTCCGAACTTTTTTCTCCTTTTAGATAATGAGATAAAAAAAGTTTGAAGAACGATTTTTTAGGAATGTTTCAATTACTCCGTCATACGCAGGGAAAGGTAAAGAAAATTTTAAACTAAAATCTGGAGAGCTAGAATTCGAAGCTATTGTTTAGAATTCTAATAATACGGGGCTTTTAATTCAAACTCAGTCTTTGTTTTGAAAACATGTCATCGCAAAAGCTAAAAGTGCATAATTTAAAACACTGAAAATCTGAAAAAAAAAACGTTTCTTTGGTTTAGGTCGTGCAATGTAAGAGTTTCTACCGTTTTGACAAAATATTATTCATTTAAAGCCTTTTATTTTTTAAGGTACTTTTTTAATAATAATAAAAAAAATTAGAGTACTTAGAAAATAGTAGTTTCCTCAGCACAAAGAAAAGATGATGCAATAGTGAATAATGTGTAACTCTGAGAAATAAAACTCGAGCTACAGGTTTATCAAAGTTCAAAATGTGAAACTGAAAAAGAAAAGATAAAAGGTCGGGTGTGTAATTATGCGAGCTCATTGCGTATAATTTAAAGTTTTGACCCTTAACAAGGTTTGCAGTTTAGATTATTACAAAACTTTTGAAGCACCGATTAAGTTTGAAATATTGTGGGTTAAAGTTATTTTCAAGGAAATCTCTCTTACCAAGTAACTGAGATGTATGCCAAAAGCCATTCTGATTTCACTTCTCTAAATCCATTGCGACTTAAAACCTTGTAGAAAGCTGTTGTTAATTTGAAACTGCTGGAGTTTTTGAAGCAAACTGATTCTGTTCTGAACGACATGGGGTAAATTTTTTTTATCGCACACGTATTGATTGAATTTCTTTGTCAACGAGTTATAAGAATTGTTGACTAAATATTAGTGAGAAAGTTCTCAGCTAACTTGAGTCAAGGACTGAATATAAAAACGATTTAGAATGGAAAACGAGAACATCAACGAAACAGCCACGAACCGGCAATCATTAGATGTATTATTTTTAGACGGAAGGGGGGGGGAATGAAATGTATTGTAGGTCTTAATGAAACAGCGCAGCTGCATTCTTCAATCAGGCACTTTCATGCGTTCGTTTTATTCTGTTAAAGGTCAAGGAAAAGTCCAGTGTAATTGTTGTGCAAACCGGTGGCTGTCGCGGGGGAAAGCTGAGATAACTCGTTCAACGGTATCACTCAACAGGATCATTTGCGATGAAACGATACAGTTCTGTAGGTATGCAAAACTGTTAGAATAAAAAAATATTCACGGGGTTGGGGGGATGGATGGATGGCCTTTATTCAAACACGATAAAAAATTTAAAGCTACAGGCTTGTGGGGTCGTGTATTTATAATTAAAAACATAAATCCTAATGTAAATAAAATGTCAAAATATTGACAAGATTAGTAACTAAAGCATTACGAATTATGCATTAAATTTATTTTTTACGAGATGAAATCATTACTGAATGTGTGAAATATCACTAAAATGTTCATAAATAATCTTGCATACTGAGAATTTAGTAAGTAAACAAGTAAGTAAGAAAAAATAGGTAAGCAGGTACAGGGAGTGAGTGAGTTTTGGAGGAAGTGAGCGAGTGAATAAGTGAATTGGTATAGAAGTAAGTAGGAAACTCTCTTCAGTCATAACAAATGTTAATGGCTTAGTTCGTTCCAATTGGAGACTCCATATACATATATGAGAAATTTGCGAATAAAAGTTTCCTCAACATTTGACGCTAATCTATAATTAATCAAAAGTTTTGAAAATTTATTATTCTAAATGCTGAACTCGACCTCGTTTTCAGGTTCATTTTATGCATGGCTCGTGTTCCGAAAGGCGCGACGCGATGGCCATCTATCCGTGGCCAGGCAAGAAAGATACATCTCTCCATTCAATATGCGTGCCGGTTTTGAGCATTTGCAAACTGAGTAAGATTAGAAACCAAACATCCTAGCAGGTAAGCAACTTTTAAAGGAGCATTCCTACGAAACCGCCCTATAATCTGAAAACCCGAAAAATTCAGTTATTACATTATCCTTGGGTTTCACCCACGTGACCAATACCTTAGCAACGGTTACTATCCGCCATCTTGGTGTCCCTCGAGCGTAAACAAACCGTATCTAACGAAGAGTTCATGTGAGAAAGAAGGGATGGTTTTATGCATTATTGTTGGCTGTTCGAGCAAAAGTGGAAAGCATAAAGACTAAGGATTTTTTCGTATAATAATTTAATAATTTTATTATTTCTATAGCGCAAAATTCATTATATATATGATCTAATGCGCTATACCTAAGATCATCACAAATCAAGGGGAAGAACAGGAGGAACTAGAAGTTGTTGTATTGTTCGAGGCTTGCGGCTGTTGTAGATCCTCGATTTTTTGGTCGAGCTTTTCTTTGAGCTTCTTAGCCGATGAGAAATCGATGTCTTTAGCCCTCGCATACGGCACTTCATTGACCTATGTCGGCAAAATCCATGAGCATTTTACCTGAGTGCAAGTAAGCTTGGGGTGTCACGAAAACTCACACCCCGAAAACTCAGACTCCTCGAAAATTCAAGAGATAAACTCGACTCATGATCACTCCTGGTAATCCCTCGTGTATTTTGACCTTTTGGGTCTTCATCCAACTGAAGCAGCAAAAGCAAGGCCGCAAGTTGCACGTTTCGCAAAATCGTCCGATGGTTGAGTATTAAAACATTTTAGAGTGACACAAGACTTCAGGTTTGTTTACCTTTTTGTACTTCGTCGCACAGATCCTTGTTGTCGCTCTGTTAAAATTCTTAAATATTTCGCGATAATAATGGATACAAACAGAGACTCGGCCCACCAGTCCCAAAACGAAGACAATTTTGCGACCCTTGGGCTAGAGTTCTTAAATGAGGCAGAAAGAGAAAAACAACGCGAAAGAAGACTCGGCATCAGCGCCGTCACGATTCGCCTCACTGAAGAATCACTCTTGATATTGTTGTTCGTCTTTCGCGTCGGATTTGTTGCATTATTCCACCGGTTATATTATAAAAAAATTGGTTCATGCTTTATGCTATGCACTATCGAATTATGGAGCACTTCGGAAGCTTGGAGAACACTTCGAGGGACCTGAGTTTTCGGTGTCTGAGTTTTCGTGACACCCAGCGACCTTGCCATGAATTCTAGTAGTTGCCTCTAACATAAATAAAACACTCGCGATATGTGAGCATGACTCAGCCAGTCCAGCTTTGCATCCCAAGCAATGGGCTGACAAAATAGTCCCATCGTTTTCGGAAATGACCCAAATGTTCACTAAAGGATCATTCATATGCTGTGAATGCCAAACTCGTGCTCTCACGGCATACTTGCCGGCGATTACTTTGCCTACAACTGAGGTTACAAATCCCGACACCATTTGATTAAACGCCTCTAGACTCTTGAACGCCTTGAACTGCTTCTTGGTGTAGAAGCTGGTCTCAAGAACGAGGTAACTCAGCAAGTCCGACGCTTCCACAGGAGGCAAGCATTTTGGACTGAACTTCTCGGCTGGTATGCTTGCAGGGTCAACCCCAATGACCGAGATCTTTTGCAAACATCTTTCCTTCCAACTCTCTAAGCTTTCGGCATACTCAGAGAGCACTGGGATACCTTAAGATGAATGCCGGATACTTTTATCGCTTTTTTCTGTCTGGATATTCATATAGTTGGCGAAATAATACGGCGATAAGAGAGAGGGCTTCACTAGAGAAATCGACTAATTATTCATAAATTTGACACCCGAGGGACACCAACATGGCGGACACTAACTTCAGCAAAGCTTGTGACGTCACCTGAAACCCAACCATAATATGAATTTTTAGCAATTAATAAAGCCTTTTCAATAATAATTTTAGTTGAAAGTCAATTCTAGGGCGAGAAATTACGATTTGAAAACCGTTCCGCAATTAATTTTCGTAATCACGGCCAACTTATTTTCGGTCAGCGGTCACTCCCATTGTGACGTACATTACTCAAAACACTGTTGGCTTCATTTTATATTTATGCGGAAACCTCGTGAAAATTTAGTGAAATAGTCTTAAAGGTAAAAGATAAAGTCTGTTTACGAGCCTAGTGGTCCATCAGGCCAGTGCTTAACTCCGGCTTCTGTAGCATGAAGCGACTAGGAGTATTTCTACTCCCCCCTGGATGGGATGCCAGTCCATAGCAGGGTTACCCCCAGCATTAAATTGCTGGTACCCATTTAAACACCTGGTTGGAGAGAGGCACTGTGAGAGTAAAGTGTCTTGCCGAAGAACAACACAATGTCCCGGCCGGGGGCTCGAACCTGGACCACTCGATCCGGAGTCGAGCGCACCAAAAATCTCTTGAAATTTAGTGAAATAGTCTTAGTCTTAGTGTTATAAAAACAATATATACGATCAAAATACTGTTTTTGAAAATTAGCCACGAGCACGGCGCGTCAAATGAGTAATCTACGTCACGCTCCAAACTCGCGCCAGTCTTCTTGAGCCTGGTAAGTGATTACGAAAATTAATGGCGGAACGGTTTTCAAATCGTAATTTCTCGCCCTAGAATTGACTTAACTTTAAGCTAAAAATATTATTGAAAAGGCTTTATTAATCGCTAAAAATTCATATTATAATGAAAAAACTGAATTTTTCGGGTTTTCAAATTATAGGGCGGTTTCGTAAGAGTGCTCCTTTAAGAGATCTTTTCCAAAGAAAAGAAAAGAGAATTTGTAACAAAAAATTCTGTTGTTGACTAGTTTTAACATGTCCGCTAAGTTCTATCTCGAAGAAAATTTTATGTTATTCGTTGACTGCCCGAATACAAAACTTTAGTACGTGCTTCAGTAATGCGTAAGATAGTAGTAACTGGCATACCCATTGCGCACGCCACTCCGTGTATATTAGGAGTTATAAAACTTGCGAGTATTAGACCGAACCTGAAATCGATAGATCTTTAAAAATGGTGTCAATTGTTAATTATTGTAAAATTTTCTTTATTATCGTTAGCCAAATGTACTAAGTAGATTACAAATAACGCACAAACTGAGTACAGATATCTCGCAATGTTGCACGGTTATTTGGACAGTTATTTTGTTCTGTATAAAACTTTAATGAAATGATGAAAATGAAATGTAGTAATCAAGTTCTGTTAAGCGCCATTGTTTTATGATTAAAGCTCGTTCATGTCTGGGAGCGGTTGTCTTTCGGAAAATTGGCCGGATTTTCATGAGTGTCACTGGGGAAAAATTATTCAAATGGTTTTCATCGGTAAAGGGTCAGTTTTTTATTTGCGTTACTTTCAATTGTGTTGGGTTTGTGAACAACGAGTGCAAATAAAATTCAACTTGGAGTCGTTTGGAAACCTAGTTTGACAAGTTGACGCCGCACGAGCCAATCCAACGCGGGCGCTACGCAAGACTTGTCACAAACCACATTTTTATTTGCGTTATTTTTCCTGCATTGAAATAAATGCGCATATAATAAAGCAGTTGGATAATAAATGAATTATTAGACGCTTTGGCGAGTCGTATGGTTGAGTATTTTTAATGGTTGTTTGAATTTGACTTGCCTTACGGGCTCTTCAAAAAACGGCCGGCACAACTCGTAAAGATGCTCAGCCGATACTACTTAGCAAAACATCGCATGAGATACATATACTTTCTCTTTTTTTAAAGGCCCAGTTTCACCTACTCGGCTTTGTGGCTCTTTGTTATTGTTTTGAAATGACGATCTCTTTTCTGATTGGCTCATTGCTTATTGTGACTCGCTTAGCCAATAATTTTCGACTATTGAGATTCATTAGTTAAGGGAGAGGTACGCAATACATTATGGGTGAATCGGGGTCTTTTAGTTTTTATTGACATGATTCACTTCTTGTTAAACCAGGTGTGCTGACCACTTTAGCTGTAACCGAAGTCACACGTGATTGTGCTCATCTTTTATTTCAAAACATCCACAAACCTACGGTACTAAACCGTGACATGAGTAAGACTGACTGATTCGAGGCTGTGGACGAATTATGACGTATTTGAGTAAATCAGCTTTCAGGCGATTTCTCAGTTTGGTTCAAACCAATGTGACACTGCATATCTTTATTAGTTTAGGAGAAAAATTTTCGTTAGTACGTTTACTTAGAATTGCGATACACAACGTCAGGGTTTGGTTCTCGCCTGGCCAACATTAAATCAACCAACTCGATTATCCATTTTTTTTGTAATTTTTTTTTTTTTTTGCATGGAATCGAATCAAAGTAGAGTGAATCAAAGTCCAAAAATCTCACAGTCATTGTGAACATTTTATTTCATCAGTCCATCTTCGAGAGACTTGACAGTCTCTGACAAGTGAAGTACTATTGATTTACATTAATTTTTTTTATGGATTTAATGGCGTATTAACACCGTGGGATGTTGGAAGATTCACAAAAACCTTTGTATCTTTCTGATCGAAGGCGTGTAATTGATGACGATAAATTACACGCCTTGGATACCTAAAAAAAATCTCATCGTAAATTATGGGATTTTTTTAGGTATCCAAAATACTGACAGCTCCTTACACCGAAAATTGTTGTGATGGGAATTCTGTCAACGAAATGGAAATCTCTGTAGCAAGCTGGTTAATGGCAACAGTTTGCTTGTAAGTTTTGATTAGCTTTCAAAACATTGTTTGCTCCAAATAGCTTCTAAAACCAAAATTTCTAACTGAGTTGCAGATTTTATGACAATTTGAGTTTTTTGCATGTACAATGAATTGTGGCGGTTACAAGGCATCAACATTTTAACTCACGGAGATAGAGTTTGATAAGAAAAAACCGTCAAATATCTGATAAACCAATTGTTGTTTGTCGCGATGTGCTCAGGAAGTTCTCTTGGTTCGCGGTTCCTGTACTGCTATCAATTATCAGGTTTTGTAAGACAGTTTGTTTGATTTATTTTCGAGGAATTCCATTGTGATGTCACATTTGGCGTGAATATTTTTGAAGGAACATATGCTACTCTGAGATTTGGTCAACAAAAAGGCGTGTGAATATTTTCCTGCAAAATGCTGGGATTTCAATTACAAAGCATTCTTTGACTGAGATAGATACATTCAGTTATTGCAAGGTGAGTAAATTATAAATATAGATACATCTTTTCTTTTTCTTTCAGAAAAAGACGCTCGAAAATCCGAATAGGAAAGAAACAGGTTGAATATAATCATATTACTGAGTACAGTGTATGTCTGTTATTAGCTCTGCTTTCTGCAATGACTCACAATAAAGGTTGGGCCTAAATACTACAGATGATACATACCGTGCTTAAAAAAAAACGAACGCCACAAAAATCGGAATTCTTCGCCTTCCTATCGACTGGCGACTATATCGCTTAAATTAAAAAAAAAAACAACAAAAAAAACACTCATTTCGATTCTTACCTGGGAACAGATAGAATATACTAAAGCAGCCGGATATTAATAACACAAATCAGCAATGCTGTCATGTACTCTTAACACTCTCTTAAAACACGAAATAAGTGCTTAGTCTAGGAACGGGCAAATCTTTCCTTTTTGATAAATTCATCTTTGTTTATGTTTATTTAATATTCTGCGTTGCTCCGTCGACAAATTTGTTTCGGTTTTATCTCCGCCGAATTTACCCTCACTGCGGCTTAATAACTCCCCATGACGTCAAGTAATTAGTAAATAACAGATTTTATCAACTGCATCATCAGACCCTTGTAAAAATACACTCTAGATAAGTGTTTGCATTTAAAGATCCCAAAGGATATAAGCGTCATTTTGAGTCGTTTTCGCTGGCAAGATATCTAGATACAACAATTATTTCCCATGAAAGAACTACGAGCAAGCGGGCAGCAACTGGATTTGCAAACGAAAAAGTCACCCTGTATCTCATAGTAAAAGATATCTAGTAAAGTCCTTCAGTGCGTTAAAATAAAAAAAAAAAATTGGCTACTTTTCTCTTGTCCTTTTTATTAGCCATAAAATATGGGTTGTCGTCTGATGCTGACGTCATCTGAGTAATATATTCCTTCAAAATATTGACTTAAACTGACGTTCCAGCAATATCACACGTTTTTCTCGTTTTCAAATTTAAATCTATCATCTTTTTCTTTATTATTTCTGTCAGAAATGTAAGATAATAGGTAAAGTTGCTTGTCTGGATTTATGACACATGTACTTTAATCCATCCAATTTTTTTTCCAAAATTGCATTATTCTGTCTGACAAACAAAAAAATGACAAAAATCATAATGAAAATAACAATTTATATTGCGTACTTCCGCAAAAGCGCAACTCATCATGAGAAATTAAAATATTGTACTTAATACCAAAGCTGTTATCATTTTCGTTGGTTATCCCATTTTTTTTAGTGAAAATATTCCATATTGTTCTTCATACATCTCGCAAGGTGCTGACAAAGAGACTTTTTCAACAATCAAGAGCTGCTTTTGTTAGCAATCATTTATTTTACTCTCATGACCTTGATATATGATTCAGGGTTGATGATCTGAGGAAATTTAAGATGCTCGTCGCTCGTAGGGGTCATAAACTTTGCTGGCATAATTTTAATTGTTTTATCAGACTCTACGCTGCCCATTTACATGAAAACTCTACCTCGTGTTAATTACGACATAAGAAAATTTTAAGTGATATTTTAATCAATCGATGATTTCATTTTGCAGAAAAAAAGAAAGGGAAATGAGTGAACGAATCACCCTGTCACTGCACATAAGCGATGCAAATGTACAAACACGCGCCTTCCGAAGCCATTCCTTCAACAATCCTCCAACTTTATCAACTCATCGCTCCCGAAGAACGCTTAGTCTCCCAGCCAGAGAAAAACCGATCATTCCCCCACCAATCTCGGAGATTCCCGAAGAATGCCGACTGGATGACGAAAACCATCCCTCAGAACAGAAACCTATACAGAGTTATACAGAAACCTTTACAGAAAACTGTCATGACGAGATCCGTAAGTATATTCACCTCAAGACTAGATTAACTTAGTCACATCTATCAATATCTGATACTGAAGAGGAAAATTAATTGTTACGACGTCCAAAGTCAAACCAATTTATAGACGATTTTGATCTAAGATCTTGCCCAATGCTTAACTGAAAGCATTAAATATCAATATTAAATGACTCTATGAAAAGACGGTTGGGCAACTTAACTCATACTTCTTTCGAAATGTGTTAACACTGAATTACCGTTACAGTTAATTCAACTTCTTGACGACATTAAACCTACGAATTCTCCAACAGGATCGAGGCTTGTTAATGAGATTCCACAAAGGCCCTCTCGAGTCTCACAGCCAATAGGCTCACGGCAAAAACCACTGATTAGCAGTTTTCAGAAACCAGACCGTAAAATATTCGACTGACAAACAACGCTGTCGCGACTAAATAAGCGTCAGTGATAACTTTCCTTGACAGTAATATCACTCTTAACAGGATGCTTGCTGAGTTCTTTATAATGTAAAGAGTTAAATAAAGCGACTTTGCTTCCTATATATCCATACATTTATACACTATAAATAATGTTTACAGAACAGTGTGAAGTCCAATTCGAATTGTAATAATCATCCAAATGATCGATTAACCAGAGGGTAGAGTTGGATTCGTTACTCACGTCTATGATTGCAGACAGAATAGGACGACGCGAAATCCTGTTACCAGTAAAGCAAAACTATGACAGAATTTGAGAAGGAAACTAGCCATCGGTTTTACGTTTTCATTAAAAAAAGAGCTGCAGTTAACTCGGAAAAATGCCCGACAACAACTACCCACATGATGTGTTCTTTCAAATTCCACAATATGACGCGTAAACACCTTATTTATCAATTCATGTACACTGTCCAATTACACGCGTGATGCCTACACTGTCATATTTATTAATACCTATTCACTGTCCAATTACAAACATGACGCCTAAATTGTCTTATTGACGCTCAAACATGGCTAGTGATAACCATTTACGTTCAAGAATTTGCTATACTGGTTAACATATCAGCTACATTATTAACTCGTTGACTTCTTTTTCCTCGTCTTACAGATTGGTTTACACCGATAGCGGGCCTGTTGATTAGTCTTCTGTTATACATGTGGGCATGCCTCTTATCCTTATCAGCTGATGAAAAGAATATTATTTCCTGAAATTATGACCCTTAAATACTGTTTAATATAGCTTTCTAGGCGAATCAGATGGTCAAAACCAGTTAAGAAACGAGAGAAAATCGTGAAGTAGGAGAGTGACATATCTTAACTTTTGACCTTATCCTTTCTTTTCGAGTACAAAGTGATTAGTGACTCGATGCAATTTCCTTTGTTTAATAGTGGGCATTACAAAGTTATCTCAGATTGATTAGAACATTACAAGGGGCAGAGGAGAAAAACGATACTAATACTTGATTATCGCTACTGTAACTCCGCGACAGAGGGGAATGGGCACGAGTCACGACAGACCATGTTGCTGTTGATTCTTAGTCTACATAAATGACTTGGTGAGATACCCCCTGCTCATGCTTTTGTGGAAAAATCTGGAGTAAAATATTTAATCATTTTTTTCAACATTTTCTCTTAGTAAATCACCAGAAGCTTAGTGGTATCGACAAAACCTACCGCAGTCTAGTTCAGTGCGGCAGAAAGCTTAGGGCAAAATCAATAAAGATATCAAGTCTCTTGAAATCGCGCTTTTGTAATCATACCAATCATCATAACGGCTATGAGCAGCAAGGCGCCTCTCAAGCAATCCTATAGACTAAAGTGACTGTATGGTGAACTCGAAGATATATCAAGCAGAATAGAATTAGAGTATAGAGTGACTAAAAGCCAATGATCTTGTGATGCCAAGAAACAGAATTGGGCTGCCATTTCCGCGATAGTCTCCCCCTTTATTATCCGCTATATTTAAAAACTGATCCGTTATCTTCTCTGAGACTCATGCTCTCCCCTGACTCCCAAGTCCGTGCTAATGTGCGACTTTGCTAATACTATGTCCTTATGAATCCTGGGATTGGCCGAGCCTGTACCAGGTCACTCAAGAGGCATGTTGTTTTGAGCTCCCTCTATCATTATTATCGTTGTATAAGATGCAAAGCTAAAAATGCCTCAGGTTGTGCGTTTGCCAATATTTTTTCTTTCCATTATGGGCCAAGTAGATCTTTGATTAGTGTGGGAATGTGGAAATGACCGTAGACATTCCGAAAGGTACAAAATTTTTAGCGAAAACCTCTTATTTCTAAAACGTGGGTTCGTGCAGAAGTCCGTAATAAGTTGTTACCTCTTCCGTTCCATTTTTATCGATCAAGGTAGACCTTTTGGAGCTCAAATGAAAACCACATGTGCATACTCCACGAATTATTGAAATTTAATTCTTAAAAGCAAAGGAATAAGCTTTGGAGTAGCGAGGAATACTATTTTCAAGAGTGCAAGTGCTCTCACGGCAGAAAATGAAAACAGAATTAGCTGACTTCAAGTGAGGGTTTGCGACATGCTGGCCATTATTTGAACGGGTAAATTTTTATTTAAGTGTTAATTTGTTCTTAAGCTATTGTTCAATCGTAGATTTGTCTTTAAAATTGTTCTACTTTCAGAATTTCAACGCTACGCGATTTTATGGCCGTGAAGTTATGTAAACAACGATGGTGAATATATCTTCCGAGTCTCGTATGAGTCGGAAATTAGTTTTTTTTTTCTTCTGAATAGTCTGTTTTAGCACTTTTTTGAATCAAGAGATATCTCTTGGTCGTTTTTCTTTGTATTTTATCAAATGATTTTGGTTAAAAGAATATATTACGATTCAGTTTGTATTCTCATGAGTTTTCGTCATCTTGCTTCAGTTTGGTAGCATATGATTATCTGGTACTGAATCCCGACAAATCCGCTGCATATTGACATCTTAAATGTTTATTTCTGAGTGAAACCTAAGGGATAATGCTATCAATTGACTTACATTGAAAATCGGGCAGAGAAGAGAAAAAGAAGCGGGATTGTTCATAACAACTGTGATAGACGGCTAATTATGTCCTGAAAAATCCGTACTACCGTGAAATGTAAATAACAGACTTTCTTATATTGGCGAAAGTTAAAGGATATGCTTGTGAACTTTGATACATCTTCACTGTACTTGCAACACCAACACTCAAGGTCTTAAAATAATTGAGAAGAATATGCTGCCTTTCTATAACATCAAGAAATGGTTTAGGTATTCTAGTCTTCTCGGATAGGGACGAATAAATGGAGGTCCCGTCTCCTGCAGGGTTAGGGGTAGGAGACGTTAATTTCCCACGCACGAGATCACTGTGTGATGGGTGTCCTCCCCTGGCGTGGGATGGGTGGGTTGTTGTCTTGCGTTTCATACATGAGCCTCTGGCTTAGATCTCCCTGATTTCCACCACAAATCAGAGTCAATGTGCCAGTTTTTCGATAAAATTCTGTCGTTTAAGCGGATTACCACCGCGCCCAACTTATTGATCGACATTCAGCACTACAAACGTCGCAAAAGGAAGATTCCGACCGCATTCCATTCACTCTCACGTTTCACCTTCACAACCACTCAGTTAAATCCATCATTCTTAAAACTTTAAATTACTTCATTCAAACGCGACAAAAACATAGGCAATTTTTTGGTCAGAAGTTCTTTTCAGACTAATGACCAACCAGGCACTTTTAAATGCGCTCGTGGACGATGAAAAACTTGTCCTTTCATTCACAACACTGAGAAAATATCGGGACCCAAACGATCCATTAAGATCACCGATCACTTCACGTGCACCTCCGCCAATGTAATCTGTTGCATAACTTGCACTTATTGCAAAAAGATTTACATCGGCGAAACAGGCAGAAGACTAGGTGACCGATTTCGAGAACACCTTCGCGACATGGAGAGGAATGACAAGGACACATCGAAGCCAGTCATTAGACATTTTAATTTACCCAATCATTCAAAACAACATATGGTAATCTGCGGTCTTTCCTTACACTTAGGTAGCACGGAAAGCCGCAAAACTCTTGAACAAAAGCTCATCTTTCAAACCGGCAGTCTAAGTCCCACAGGTATCAACGAATGCTTTTCATTCCACTAATTTATTCGTGTTTTTCTTGTTGCCATGTTCCCACCAATCACGTGGCTCCATTTTCTGCCTTTAAAAGCACACACAACCCACAATTCCTCTATTCGCTCCGACGAAGGGCTAACGCTCGAAACGTCAGCTTTTATGATCGTAGCGGTGGCCAATTTACCATTTCAACTTTGTTGATATATTCAAATTAGCTACAAATGGAGCTGATGACGATGCAAAGGCTGACTTCTATGAAAGGCTACAAGGTGTCATAGATGGCGTAGCCAATAAAGATCTGATACCGTTGCTGGGAGATCTCAACGCAAAGGTGGGGAGCGGTAACACGAGTTTTGAGACAGTTATGGGAAAGCATGGTGTTGGGAAAATGAACGAAAACGGAGAGCTGTTTGCTGACTTCTGTTCCTTTAACAAGCTAGTGATGGGGGGAAGTGTTTTCCCACATAAAGAGGTACATAAGGCGACTTGGGTTTCTCCTCATAACAAGACCGCGAACCAGATTGACCACATCTGCATAGCATCAAAGTTCAGAAGGTCTTTATAAGTTGTCAGAGTAAAGAAAGGGACAGATGTGGCCTCTGACCATCACCTTCTTGTGGGCAAATGCCGACTGAAACTTAAAAACCATCACACTAGCTCACAGAGGACAAGCCACAAGTTTAACATCGAGATGTTGAAGGAGGAGGAAACAAAAAACAGGTTCAAGCTCACCTTGCGCAATACGTTCCAAGGACTAGCAAGTTTACACGAGAATGAGCAGCATTCAGGGGTAGAAGAGAGCCAAACGGTAGTCAACAAGGTATGGCAGAGTATGAAAGATATCTGGAGGAAGACATGTGAGGAAACACAGGGAAGTAAGACTAAACTTTACAAGGCTTATGTCAGCACAGCTACTCTGGAAAAGATAGAGGCTAGGAAGAAGGAAAAGGATGTGTTAAACCGGAGCAAAGCAAGAGCTCAGAAAGCAGAAGCCCTGATCAGATACTCTAAAGTCAACAGAGAGGTTAAGCAAAACATTAGGAAAGACCTAACCCCAGGGAAAGGCGATTTGAAAGAGCTTTATTCCATCACAAAAACACTGGCAGGTGTCAGAAAGACTACAGACAGACCTGTTAGAGCAGAAAGGGGGGAGGTGGTCACTTATCAAGAAGAGCAGCGAAGGAAGCTGCTCAATAGACCTCCGCCAAGTGAGATACCTAATATAGAACCAGCCCACACACCTTTACACGTCAATGAGAACAGGCCAGGCAAAGTAGAGATCAAGAGAGCCATCAAACGTTTAAAGAATGGACAAGCTGCAGGACCTGACGGCCTACCACCACAAGCCATCAAGGAAGATTTAAGAGTCCCTGTCTATAAATATGGAAAATAACTCGGCAAGGGTCAAAAATTTGATTTCGCTCATATTTTTATGGTAGATAGGCTAGGACATGACAAAAACTACGGGATAGTCTTTTAGGCAAAATACTCTTTCATTTGAAGGAAATATGCAAATTACCAAATTCAGTTAAAATCGTCATTTGACGTGCCATTTTATTAAACAAGTTTGAGAGCCTCACATGCAAAACCACATCATTCTTCCGTCTTTAAAACACTCAAATATTTTTTTGCAATGTTTAAATGAGTACTGGGTTGGTTTGGGGAAATGCTGCGTTATTTTTTGGATGCAAAATAATTAAATTTTGAACACATGTATTTCATTCACTTAAAATTACTTCCAAAAAGGAATTGGTTTTCACCATGTGCGAAACCTTCAAATGGATTAAGCTTCTTGTGGTTGAATCGCCGAAGGATGGTCTACAGTTTCCTGTAAAAATTTCTCTGGGCAAATGATTATGAGCGACGCGAGAGCTTTTCAAAGTACGTTAAAAATGCTAATATTTGCCATCCGCATCACATCTTAATTGACGGGTTAGACATATATTTCAGCATGCGCCACATGTCTTGACCTAAATAGACACAGTTTCGAAACGTGTTGTCACCCTATTTACTGTAAAAGGCAGGTTCAAAAGCCGATTTGACGTGTTTCTTTCACCATTCGTCGCATTTTAAGCGGTCAAGTTTGCCTCTGTTCACACAACGTCCGATGTGCGTTGCCAACTGTCAACGTAATCGATGGTCGAAAACCAGGAATCTGTGATCATCTTTCGGCGCATATGATTAGCGCTGCATCTATTTAAGTCAACAACGGCTAAATCATTCGTGGATAGTTGCTTGCTATGTACGTATTAAACCAAAATTATACAATTGATTGCTGGCCATTGCTCCCAAGCGTGTCGGCGCTCGCAGCATAATCTTACTATACTGAAGTCGTAATTTGCTCGTCACGCAATGGTGTCACGGCATCTCATTTTAGCGGAAGGGTATATAATTTAAAAAAATAAAGAAAATAAAATGATAGTAATAATAACAATAATAATAATGATAATATTGATAATAATGATAATAATGATTATAATAATGATAATGGCGATGACGACGATGACGACGACGGTCATGATGATCATGATGATTACAGCGGCCAGAAGTGCTCTGACCAACCCGTGGGTAGCAGATTGGCCCTTCCCCGTGCACGCGACATTGGCCTCTCCAGCTGGGTGCCAAGTCAACGCAGAACCAATCGCAAAACAGTCAATGTCAAGAAGTTAGACGTCAAGACTCGACGTCTAACTAAGCGAAGGTGTCAGTAAAAGACGCCCTCCCTTCCCCCCAGCAAACCACCAACAGATAGACCAGTGCCTGGGTCATGTCCCCAGCCCGGCCTTGACGGGGTCTCTCCCTCCCCCGCAAACATAGGTTTAGAGCCGCTGACCAGGCCTGGGTTCACGAGAAAACAGAACGGGAATGTTTTTGCGAAATTGCCCAGATATACATATGTCATATCTATAAATGATGAAATTGCTCAAATGTAATCGATGATATCATATATATATATATATATATATATATATATATAAGTGGCAACATGACGTTTTTGTAGTACTTTATGAGGTTTTTATACAACAGCTGCATGATAAAGTGTCCCCACTTACTACAATTTTAAAAACTCGCTGTGGACAAATTGTACAACAAAGAAGGAAGAACTAGCTGAAATAAAAAAATACGAAATCACAACGTGACTAATTAGTGAGAAAACGACTGAATCTAATTAGTAGTTACCTGAATAAACAAATCCTGGCCATGCCACAATATTTGGCGCCTTTTGTTTGCTTAGTTGCGGTTATTGGTATTCTCTTTGGTTCACTTTTTGTGACGGAAAATGGAGGGTTGTTGTTCTTTTAAAGTTATTGTTGGTGGAGTTTGCGGTTATAACCCTAAAGATCGAAAGCGTAATTCTGAAATCGTTCCGTTACTTTCGTGCAAG